CAAATTCAAGCTGGCAAGGAGGCACGTGGAGTGTTGCAGGCTAAACAAGTCAGGTTCTAGCCTCTCAGCCCAAAATCAGCCTGAACTTCAGTGAAACTAAAGGTGTACAGTTGCTGGGATTATCTACTACCCATCATAAATCTATGGTTAGCTGGCTAAAATTAACATGGATCTGAACTCTGTTCACTTTGTCTACCAGTGATAGCAGACATATGTTGAGGTGGAGAGATGGCAATTTTTTCTTATTTTTTATTTTTTCATTGTTCTTGTTTTTATGTGTGAACATTTTTTTGTTTTTATTTCTTCCTTCTCTTCCTTCCTGTCTTCTTTGCCAGTTTCTCAAAGTTTGTGTAACCTTCCTTTGTCCTCCTAGCACTGCCTCTAATCACTTCCTCTTCTTCTGTTTCTCTAATTTTTCCCCTAACCCCTTTGAAATTTTCTCCCCTTAGGGTAATATGGTCATACTGAGGGAATAATTACTATATACAATTTTCTAGTTTGTTTTAGATTTTGTTATATAACCACAAATCTAGTTCCTACAGTTAAAGGTGGCAAATTAATAGTTACTACAGTTTGTCAATTTGCAGGCTGTGTTTAATGCTACTGTTACTGTTGATTGTACTACTTTAGCCACGGTGACATAATTGTTCTTTCTAATCAGTTGTTTTTCATGGTATGCCAAGACAGAGATTGCCTAAGGGTCATAAAAAGTACTATAGGCCAGGGTGAAAGAACCAGGGATTAGGCCAAATATGCAGCAACCTCTCATCCCCAATAAATTGTAAAGTTAGGGTTTTGCAACAGATTCAAAACCCAAAAGCCAGCCACACCTGGAAGGCATCTCTGAGAAGTAGTTATATCCTAAGGGTTTTAAATACTAGCAATGAAGTGACTTGGCATAAGTAATTTATAAGTATCAACCCAGGAATTAAAGAAAAATAGAAAATAAGAAGACAAGCAAGATGCAACCCTAGGCTTCCAGCTTATTATAGGCAAACCCAGGGGGCAATGTGGTGAACAATTTGAAGCCAACCACCTAGAGTCTCTGAAGTGATAATAGCAGAAATAACAAAGCAGATGAATGAAGCTCTAGAAAAAAATCACAACAGAAATAATAATTTCTCAGGTAACTACAGAAATGGTAACCATAATTAAAGACAGGGTTAGTGACTATAGAGCAGATACAGATAAAAAAATAGAGGTGCTTAAGAAAATGATGGAAATTATGAATGCCCAACACAGAAATTAAATCCATGAAACAGATTCAAATAGATATCCAGGAAATTAAAAATTCTATTTAAAAGTGTAATCAATAAATGTAATAATACCATATTTAACAGAGTCAAGGACAAAAATCATACGATCATCTCAGTAAGTGCAGAAAAAGAATTTGACAAAGTCCAACACCTATTCATGATAGAAACCCTACAGAAAGTTGGAACAGATGGTTTATCTCAATCTGATAAAAGCTATTTATGACAAACCAATAGCCAACACACTAAATGGACAAAAACTGAAAGCTTTCATTCTAAAATCAGGAACAAGACAAGGATGTCCACTGTCACCATTCTTATTCAATATAGTTCTGGAAACATTAGCCAGAGCAATTAGAGAAAAAAAATAAAATAACAATAGGAAAGGAAGAAGTTAAATTACAGATGACATGATATGCTACACAGAAGACTCCAAAACCTCCAGCAAAAGATTCTTAGATTTAATAAACAAATTCAGTAGTGCAGCTAGATACAAAGTCAACACTCAAAATTAGTCTCATTGCTGTACACAAACAACAAACTCACTGAGAGAGAAATTAGGCAAACTACACCTTTCACAATAGCATCCAAAAAAATGAAGTGTCTAGGAGTCAGTTTAACTAAGAAAGTAAAAGAGCTTTACAATGAAAACTATAGTACTCTGAAAAAGCAGATCAAAGAGGGTATGTGAAAATGGAAAGCTATCCCTTGTTCCTGGGTAGGAAGGACCAATATAGTGAAAAGGGCCATACTTTCAAAATTATTATACAGATTTAATGAAATCCTGATGAAAATACCAATAGCATATCTTACAGAATTGGAGAAGACAATCCTAAAATTCATTTGGAACCAGAACAGACCTAGAATAGCAAAAGCAAATTTGGGCAACAAAAGCAAGGCAGGGGGCATCAAAATCTGTGACTTTAAATTATACTATGAAGCTACTGTGATAAAATCAGCAAGGTATGGCAAAAAACAGACTCATGGAACAGTGGAACAGATTAGAAGATGCAGAAATGACTCCAAATACATTCAGCCATCTTGTCTTTGACAAAGGAGACAAACATATTCACTGGAAGAAAGAGAGCCTCTTTTAATAAGTAGTGCTGGAAAAACTAGCCTTCCACATGCTGCAGATTAAAAACTAGACCCCTATCTTTTACCATGCACTAAACTAAAATCAGAATGGATCAAAGATATAAAATATTAAAACAGAAACACTAAATCTTCTGGAAGATAGAATAGGTAGAACTCTTGAAGACATAGGTGCTGGCAAAGACTTTATGAACAACACCCCAATCACACAGGAACTATCACAAAGAATCAACATCTGAGACCTCATTTTATTTAAAAGCTTTTGCACCAACAGAATGAAGAGACAACCCAGAGAGTGGGAAAAAATTTTAGCCAGCTGTTCCTCAGACAAAGGAATATATAAAGAACTAAAAAAAGCTTTCCAATCCCAAGAAATTAAAAAAAAAAATCCCCAAATTTAAAGACCCAATCCAAAAATGGGCATTTGAAATAAATAGGCACTTCTCAGATGAAGAAGTAGAAATGGCAAATAAATATATGAAAATTGTTCAACATCACCAATCATTTGAGAAATGCAAATTAAAACAATGCTGAGATTCTGTCTGAAAGAAATCGACAAATAACAAATGCTGGTGGGGTGTGGGGAAAAAGAACCATTCTTCACTGTTGGTGGGAGTTAAGACTGGTGCAACACATATGGAAACCAGTATGGAGATTCCTCAAAAAGCTAAAACTAGAGGTTCCATTTGATCCAGCTGTTTCTCTTCTTGGCGTCTTCTCAAGAGAATTAAAAGCATCATACCAGAGCAATATATGCACACCTATGTTTATAGTGGCAGTTTGAAATATCTAAATCTTGGAAACAGCCCAAATGCCCATGAAATGATGAATAGATAAAGAAGGTGTGTGTGTGTGTGTGTGTGTGTGTGTGTGTGTGTGTGTGTTTTCATGTACTGGCCTCCTACTCTGCCATAAAGAAGGATAAACTTGAGACATTTCTAACTAAATGGATGTATCTGGAGACTACTTTTACTGAAATAAATCAGACACACACTTAAATACCACATTGTTTCTCTGGGTGAGAAACAAAGTGTAAATAAGGAGCAAAATGTATAATAGGTTTTGGGAAATTGGAAGATAATTTTCAGAAGAAAAGGAAAACAAGGGAAGGTGGACAGGGAAAGGAAAGAAGCCACAAACACACAAAAAGAATAGAAAATGCAGAAAGGATCAGTTAATGCTTAAAGTTTTCTTTTTTCTTGACCAATTTTGCATGCTTGAATGTGGGAATCAGAATGACTGATCTGAAAACAACAATATGCAGTATAAGAACCATTGTTGAACTTCTACCATCTCGTATGGTGAAGCTCTGCATCATTTCCAATGCTTTGTTTTTTATTACTTGTTACTGTCTTTGATTGTTTGATCAAAATTACACTCATGTCTGGTGGACTGAGCAACTTTGTTGACGATAACAGTATGTAATGTAGCTACCACTGTTAGTACCTGTCATTTTGTTTTGAGGTCATGTATCATTTTTGTATTGTTTTGATTTTGTCTTCATTGTTGTTTTGTTAGTTTTTTAAATTTTTAAAATAAAAAAAAGTGGAAACAAAGCTTTTGTAAATAAGGAAGGGAATGGCGTGGGATATAAAGAAGACACAAGATACACCATGTACAAATTCCCTATGATGGATGTTATCATACTGTGTATCTAAAATGTACAAAAAAAGGCATGTTTGTGCTGACAAGGAGAGGACATTTCTGGAGGTGACAGGCTACCCTCACTCACTGATCATTACAAAGATTTTTGAGGCTTATGATGCTATAGGAAAGTAAGGAAAAATAAATTAGAGATACCACAAGATAAGGTGTAACGTTTCAATACCCACACCACATCATACACTTCTTTTCGTGATAGGGTCTCTCTATGTACTCCAGGTTGGCCTTGAGCACACTATGTGGCCCAGAGTGGTCTTGAACTCATGGTGATCCTCCTGCTTCAGCCTCCCCAGGTGCAGGGATTTCATGAGTGTGCCAGCCACCATTTCTCATTGCCTACAAAACCACTTATGACTGCATAAAATATGCTATTTTGAGGAGCAATTTTAGAAATTGTGGCCATCAGATCCTTAGGTGACTCCAGTGATCCCTACCTTCTGGCATTCACAGGCTTGTATAATATCCCCCACTCCTACCTGGGAGAGACCTGGCACTGGCTTCTAACCAGAAGGACATGGCAAAGATGGTGGAGAGCCAATCTTTACATTAAGTTGCCTCAGGCTCCATCTCATTAGCAGAGTCCCAGTGCTCCTGTTCATCTTGAACAAGCACGAAGGCATGTAACCTGCCTAAGGAAGACAGCCCAGGGGCAGGCTCTCATAGCCTTCGGCTGTTGGCCAGCAAGGGAACGAAGCCCTGAGAGGTACAGCTGCAAGGAAAAGAATTCTGCCAACAACTGCAGAGTTTGGAAGTGGATTCTCCTGAGTGAAGCCTCTAGATTGAGACTGCAGTCCCAGAGGCTGCCTTGACTGTTCCTGAGACCCAGAGCAGAGAACGTAACTACGGTAATTAGGCTCCTGACCCTCAGAGAGTGGGGTAAATAACAAATGTGTGACGTTTTACCTGCTAAGTTTATGGCAATATATTATGCAGCCTAGAAAATCAGTATAGAAATCTTACTGTGTAAAATTAAGAAGTGGAGAAAAGTAATACTGAGTGGCCATGTGGGGTATTTATTAATGATGATCAAGTATCCAGAGTCAGTCATCGTCAATGCTCATCTCCGTGATTTTAAGACTCGGTAACTCCTTGCCATGATTACTGTCGCCATACAACTCAAGAGAGTGGGACAGACAGGCGCTCACACGACTCAGCGCGCTGGACATCTCAGCCTTTTCAGTGTCGCTATCACTGTCGATGATGTTCACAGAAGTTTCACGGTCTCTCAGGCTGTCTGAAATCCCTGGATTATTTTCATCCCAAACTGAAGGTTCGAGGTTTGCTTCATCATTTACCTGTTGAACTATAACCTCTGCTGAATTCTTTGCTTCGTAGGCAGGCATGAAAAATTCGCCTTGTGAAGACATCTCGTTTTCATCCTTTGGCACAGACAACATGTCCAAAGCATTCTGGTACTGCTGTCGTTCCTGCTGAATTGCTATGTCCTGTGCATTTCTAAGTCCATTACGTCCTGAATTCATGGCCTTTTCAAACTCAAATGAGTTCAACGTCTTGAGATCGGTTGGCTTTACCGAGTTTTCCTCTGATATGCAGCCTAAGTCTATTTTCAGGCCATGCAGCAGGTGGCGCATTTTTTCCTAGGATTAAGCGAATAATTATGTAAATTATGAGAATAATGACAGTCAAGCTAATCAAACGGAGTCAATGTGGTTTGCAGTGCTACTGATCTCAGCAGGAGAATCCTTTCCTTCCATCCCCCTGCTCCCCAAGCCCCTAAAAGTTCAAGGGGAAAAAACAGCTTGCTTTTAATCCATTTTTTGAGGTCATGGAAAAGTTTTAAAATGTTTGCATTAGAATTTTTCAAATGAAGTTCTAAGAAAAGACAAACCTCTTTTAAACGATGTTTGTTTTGTTTTATATGTCGCTCGAACAGTCGTTCTAAAAACCTACAAATGATAAATAAAATGGTTAATGTCTCAAAGCCAGAAAGTGAACTCGATATTAAATTGTTATGTAGTGCTCAAACTACTAAAGGCTGGGAAATATTTTTTAGTCTTTTTCTTTCTAAAGCTGAAGACTAATCCTGCTCTGTTCTTTTAAGCTCTTCATGTTTGGTGTTACTCTAAAAAATGCCACAATAAGCAGTCTTATACTCTTTAGTGAAATAGGTAAAATTTTAAGTATGAACACATATGGTTTGGCTTCCACTAGGAGTTTGCATTCATTTACAGTAGGAGGCTGATGTTTCTCACAGAGTATACGCTACTCCCATGTCTTAATTCCCTTTTTCCTTTCCTTTCCCTTCCCTCTCTTCCCTTCCTCCATCTCTTGATTCTCTTCCCATTGGAGAAAGATCTACCTCCCTATTTCCTATTATCTATCTCTGCTTTTGCTCTTTATTTATAACTTGGGTTTCTCATATATGAGAAAAAAATGCAATATTTGAGCTTATGTGTTTGATTTATTTCACTTAACTTATGGTTTCAAGCTGTATCTGCTTTCCTATCAATGACTCAAGTTTATCTTGCTTTATGGCAGAGCAACACTCCACTGTGTAAATTTCTTTTGTCCATTCGCCTGTTGATGGACATATAGGCTTCTATGCACTGTGCTGTATAAACATGGATATGCATGTGTCACTGTAATATGATGTCTTAATGAGGTATAAAAATTCTCTCATACCCCCAGTGCTTGCCCCTACCTCATGCTCACGCATACACACAGGCAAACACCAACAACCCCTCCCCGTCTTCCTGTTTCACTCTTTCACATGCACACACACTTAAAAACAAACTCAAAAGAAAATCCTCTTGTGGAGATATTTTACAATGCTTCCTAAATTGTGCTTGGAAAAAATACCACTGATGGTAAGTCTACATAATAACCTAACAGTTAGTACTTACTAGGCACTGCTAAGCACTAGACATATAATAATAATTTATCTCTATTCCTGACCAATGTTAGGACAGAAAGGAGTTATAAAAACACTTTAAAGATGAGAATACCACACCTCTAATAATTTCATCTCCTGTAACGTCATAAGCCATTAACCTAGAGGTGCCTGGTTCCAGAGAATTTATCCTTTCTACTTTACCATGCTGGTCTATCACATTAATATATCAGTAGGTTTCTTGGAAGACATCTTATTTCCCTTGTTAACATCCATTAAGTGATGAGCCGAACTTATAGTGGTTTTAAATTATTTAACAAAATTTAAAAGCTCCAAAACCTGTACATATGGCTAACATTTTTAGACATGTTTCTATGGTTATGTATTTCTTTCCCAAAACTAAAGTTAACACATATTGCCTGGGAATCTATTTTTTGACTCAATTATGTATATTTTGAACACCTTTATTAACAAATCCACTTCTACATGATTTTTAATCACTGAACAGATCTCTCTCTCATAAATATTCTATAATTTATTGAACAAAATCGTTAGTATTCAACATTTAGGTTTTTTTTTTTTTCCTTTTTGAGATAGGGTTTCACTATGCAGTTCAGGCTGGTCTTGAACTCACTTTGTAGCCCAGGCAGGCCTCAAACTCACATTGATCCTCTTGCCTCAGCCTTCTGAGTGCTGGGATTACAGGTGTACACCACCATGCCCAGCCATGGCTTTGTTTTTTCGTGCTAATATAAGTAATGCTACAATAAGCAGTCTTATACTCTTTAGTGAAATAGGTAAAATTTTAATTATAAAAACATATAGTTTGCATAGACTCTTTTTGTGTTTTTCTGGTGAAAACATAAGAAAATTTACCATCTTAACATACTTTTCTTTTTTGAGACAGGGTCCAGTTTCGCAGTTCAGGTTGGCCAACCTGTTGGGCACTTTTATATGTGCAGTCACTAGTGTTGTGAAACACATCTCCAAAACTCTTTTATCTGGCAAATATGAAACTCTACACTCACTAAACAAACATTTTTTTTGGCTAACTTTTTAAATAGAAGTCTTATTCCCCAAAACTTAGGTCTTTTCAATACTGTACACCTTTTTATTCTCACAATAAAGATGTTTGCTTTAATTTTCAAAAATTATAGAAATAGGGGATAGAAGGAATTCACTGGAAATAAGGTGCACTGGGCATATTATAATTGAGAAAATATGTAGAACACAATGGGGTCCTATGCTACAAACAATGAAGTGGGGCCTGGTACCCAGTGAATTTTAGGTACATAAATGTTCATAGGAGATTCAGGATGGTTTCCTTAAGATATGCAGTACCTACTCTGGTTCTGAAAATTTTCTATTTCATTTGTAGTGTGAAAATCTAGCTTTTACAATATGCAAGGTATTAATCATTGCTATTCTCCTATCTTGTTTTGAAATTTTGTATCATTGTTATCGTTTCTTCTCTTTAAAATAAAAAAAAATCTACCTTTTAAATTTCATTTTACTAGATCTAATAGTAACGTAGTTGTAATTAAAAAAATTTTAATTTTGCTTTTTTTGAGACAGGATCTCACTATGTAGCTCAGGCTGGCCATGACCTATGTATGCCAGGCTGGCCTTGAATTTGAGGCAATCCTTCCGCGTCAGCCTCCCAAGTGCTGGATTACAGGTGTGAGCCACCACACCCAGCGTAATAAAAATTCTTGCTTTTGGATCTCATGACAGTTTCAGATAGCAAGATGGAATTATGCAGCCTTGCAAATAAGAAGTAAAAATTTTAGGGGCTGGGGATTTAGCTCAGCGGCACAGCGCCTGCCTGGCAAGTGCAAGGTCGTGAGTTCGATTCCCGGTACCAGAAAAAAAACAAAACAAAAAAACAAAAAAACAAAACAAAACAAAATTTTATTTACAGCCTTGCAAATAAGAAGTAAAAATTTTATTTATTTTACTAGTCTATTATAACTATGAGACATAATATTTAAATGAACCAGAATTTTACTCTTTTCTATAGTTAGCCCAAAGTGTAAACTTGCCCCAGAGTATGAATTAAATATGCTATACAATGTGCTGTCAATTATAAGAATATGTTCTTGAAAAAGCAACATAACGTTCATTCCCTAATACATGGAACTAACTTAATCACACTAACATCATAAGAAAAATACTTAATATACACAACTCCCATAATAAAATTTAAAAAAAACTGACCTGCTGGAAAACAAACCAAGTTTCAAAATTTCGCTTGTTATATCTTCCATGAAGCTCAAATACAACAGTTCTTCTTCACTGCAAAGGTACAGTGAGACACAGCATAAAAATTATTGCTTACTTATTCTGAAAACTGTAGGAAACACAAGTCAGTAATGTCTATTTCTACTATACTAAAGATGCTTCTATTTGTTATTATTATTAAGGGGAGCATTATAAAACAAACGTGTGCCTTCTCAAACTAGGCAAGGATAAACTCTTAAACGGAGAAAATATTACCTAATAGAGTGATATTTCATAGCTGTCTACAATATCCATAGCAGCAAAATGTAAATACAATTAAAACACAAAGGAGAGCAAGCAAGGGCAAGAGACCAACCAGGAAGGGCCCTAGGGCTGGTGTTCCTGACCAGCATTTTGCATTTCCTTCTACTTCTGGCCATGTTCAGCAGCAGAGGCCGTGAGGCACGAGTGCTGCTACTCAACCCTGCTCCCCACCCTCATGAGCTTTTGGGAGGCCAAAGGGAAGCCGTCCAGGAAGCTTTAACTGTGCAGTTCTGCTGGGCACAGTGGTGCATGCAGGCACGCAGGAGGCTGGGGCAGGAGGATCACTGTAAGTTCAAGGCCAACTTGGGCTACATAGTGTGCTCAAGGCCACCCTGATCTACAAAGTGAGACCCTGTCTCAAAACCAAACCAAATGAAGACAAAAAACAACTGTGTAGTCCTGCTCTGAGGACAGCATCTTGCATTAAGGTTGGGATATTTGCTGAGCAGAATAATTTCTTTTTTTCCACAAAATATTTGAAGAAGAAAAAAAAACCTAATATGATACTTTGTGAACAAAAATATAGTGGTAATTTTAAATTACTTGGATACATTTCTTTATTATGCTACACTATGAGGTAACTATTTTGGTAGCTATTACAAAAAAAGTAGGGCACTATGGTAAATTCGATAATTAGCTGAAACTAATGAATTAATAGAGAATACAACTAGCAAGTAAGTACTCGATTACTGAATAAGCCAATAGAAGAAGAGCAAAATGTAAATCAGATAATTGATTAAAATGTTATATAAAAAGTTGTTTTTCAATGATTCAGAGTCTTGTTTAAAAATAGCCACATTTAGGAATAAATGAAACTCTATAAAATATTTATTTTAAAATAATAATGAATACAAAATTAAAAAATAATGAATACAACATTGAAACTTAGAATTGTAATATGTGCAAAGAAGGGAGGAGGTTAGAGGTCTCTAGGAAGAGTATCCTGAGCTCCTGAGATACTAAAAATCCACATCTCTCTAAAATTCCCATTTTAATCTATAAAATGAATGAGAATTATAGGTACTAATTATTACAAATAGTAGATATTAACTTAGGGACAGATTTTTCCAGAAGATAAACAAGATTGATAATTATTCCAGAAAATAATGGTCATTTTCTATAATGCAGCATGTATGTATACAATTAAAATGTATACAAAGCTGGTTGTAAGAGAGAATAGTGTTTGATCTTAACTTATTTTATAATGGTTTCTATGATTCTTAATGCTTGATTCCCGCTAAAACAAAACGAAGGGGTAAAAAAGATCTTACTTGGAGTAGATTTTATTCTCTGAAGGAAGCTGTGCAGAATACTGATATATCATTCTATGAGAAGAAAATTAAAATATTTTAGCAAAACAATAGTAAATATCCAGTAATATTTTATAGTAATAATAATACGTGTTAGAATTTTTAAAGCATTTTCATATCCATAATCTAATTTAATCTTCTAAACAATCCAGTTGGGGATGTTGGTTAGGTATTATTTTTCTCACTTGCTAATGGGTTCTTCAAGGCTCAGAGAGGCCAAGAAACTTGCCAAGGTTGATGCTAGTAGGAAGCAATGACAGCTTTTAAAGCTATTTTTCTAATTATAAATTCACAATCTTTAAAAAAAAGATACTATAGCTTTTGCCTAGTATAAACAATTTGATTAACATATAAATAATGCTAAATACATATTTGCCTATGGAAATTTTTGTTAAACTAGCCATTATTATAAATTCTCCTCATTCAGTTATGTTATCATTAGTTATTCCAAGGCTTTTTATTCAGGTATATGCAATTACAATAGTTTATTTCTTTTAAGTTGAAACTACTAGAAAACATAAATATGCCTTTCTTTGGGCCATTCTTTAATACAGGCTGGCTCAAGAATAGCTTAAGCTCTGTGTGCTGCAGTACCAGAAATTCCAAAGAGGGAAACAACAAATTCCTCTGTGGCCTTAGCAGGCGACATTTCCTCAGCAGAGGCTTGAGGAGGAGGCTGGGCCCTGAGGGAAATATGTACACTTTGCTTCCGCTTGGCTATTTAACACTTCCTCTGGGCCTTTTTGAATGTCTGCTCCTTTTCTTCCCCTTCTTTCATCTCATATCCAATTTGAACAGGGGAAATCTGATAGCTGAAACTATCAATGACATCTTTCAGCTTCTCCGCGACCTGCTAACCCATCATTTTTGTTTAGGTGCAGTACTCCATAACTGCCAAACGTGATGAATAGTTTTTGTTGTTGGTGTTTGGTACTGTGGACTGGGCCCAGGGCCTCTCACATGCTGGGGAAGAGCTCTCGGGCTGAGCTACAAACCCAGCCCTTTTTCTTTTCCTTTGTTTAAATTTTGAGACAGGGTTTTGCGACATTGCTTAGGCTGGTCTCCAACTTGCATTCCTCCTGCCTTAGTCTCTCAGTAGCTGGGGTGACAGGTGTGTGACACCAGAGCTGGTGAGATCTTTAAGGGTCCTCCACATAGCATGGACAGATCAAGCACGTGGGAAACACTCAGAATCACAAATGATGGCTCCTCCAATACTAAGGGTCGTCATTCCTACTGGTGCCATGTAAACTGGCTAGCATCACTGCCAGAGGACTTGTCATGGGAAAAATCCTCTTTTTACAAGAGGAATAATGACAAATAATGCAAGCCAGTGTCCCTTTTCCTATTAATGAATTAGCAAGTAATTCACTGAATCCTTTATGGAGCACCTAACTGTACAGTTTCCTTAGTAAAACTAACACTACCACTGAAGGATTGTGTAAGAGTAAAATAGGTTAAGGCATATAATTAAAATATTATTTATACAGTAAATACTACATGTCTGGTTATAGCGCAAAGCAGTTAGATAAAGACAGCCACAATGATTTCTCCTGTAAACTGCTTACCTTTGGGAGGAATGCTGCGGAGTTCTGTCTTTAATTTCATCCCATGTCAAGTCATGTCCTTGTAAAGACAAAGGGGTTATTTTGTCTTTGGTCCCATATGTTACACAGTTAGATGCCTGGGGATGTAACAAAAGAATACATCTTTATTGCTCTGGAAATACATTATGAAAACAAATAAAGCATAGCAAGTTTCAAGGAAAATGAATAAAGGAATCCAGTAGGTAAATGGTTATATATTATTATAAAAAATGTTGTAGAATAATTTTTCTGTCTGATTTGCACTTTTTTCCTTAAATTTATTTAAAGTAAAATAAAACATTTCGTATTTTAATGCGAAACATTTTAAATGACATGAAGACATCACAAACATATAAAGAAAAAAATGAAAATTTATTTTATTTTTATGTTTTCATTTTTTGTCTTTTGGAGACAGGGTCTCGCTATGTAGTTCAGGCTGGCCTTGAGCTCACTTTGTAGCCCAGGCTGGCCTTGGACTCACAATGATCCTCCTGCCTCAGCCTCCCGAGTACTGGGATTACAGGCATGCGCCACCGTGCCCGGTGAAAATTTGTAATTGTTAAGTAAACTTAAGGAAAAAATCCATTATTCAGAAATTGAGATATCCCACCTGCTTCAAATGTCACTATGTCAAATATTTGGAAGTACTGGTAGCACAGTGTGAATCATAATAATAATAACAAACAAACAAAATAATGGCAGCCTACTTCATAGACTCCTTCCTACCGGGACAGGCATTTACCTGCATTACTAGTTTAATCTTTACAAGGCTCATTTATGGAAAGCACCTTCAGCTTTCGAAGTGTGGCTGAGGTGCAGACCTCGTGTGGTCAGTATCTCACCACTGCCCTCAAGTCGACTGTGAAGCACGGGCCCCTGCTACTCTCTTGCAGGGCTGTGGGTGAACTTGTTATCAAGATGGATTTGTTTGGCTTTGGTTTATTTAGTTACCTAAAAAGTTACCTTTTCATAAAACCCAAGTTAGTTACAGCTACCGTTTATCAACCCCTGACCAGGCTAGGAACTTTACTGCCTTGTTTTATTCTCCCAGTGACCCTGCGGGTTAACGACAGCTTTGCTAGCTGAGGACACTCCGCTCTCAGAGGATAAGGGTTTTGTCCCTGAGTTCAAGAGGAAGCGCCCTATGTCAGACAGCTGTTAACGGCTGAGATGGAAACCTATCACCTCTGCCCATTTTAGAAAAGAAGGAGACAATACGATTCTATTTTATTTTGCCTTTTTTTTTTTTTTGGTACCGGGAATTGAACTCAGGAGCTTGAGGTTGCCGGGCAGGCACTATGGCACTGAGCTATCTCCTTGGCTCTGTGATTCTATTTTATTCACGCACCTCTGAATCTGTACTTGCATTTTAATGGACATACCATTTTTATACACAATAAATTTAAGGGACACAGTACCAGATTGATACTCCCGAAATAAAAATAAACCAGGTTGTGTCAGTATCAGACTTAAAGACGTAATATATATTTTTTTGTTTTGTTTTGTTTTTTTGGTTTTTCTCCAGCACCGGGAACCGAACTCACGACCTTGCACTTGCCAGGCAGGCGCTTTGCTGCTGAGCTAAATCCCCAGCACCGAAGACGTAATATTTTAAAGAAATGATTGCCAAGCTTTCAAAATATAAATTATGTAACAATTAGCTTTATAGTCTTTAGTAAATGCAAACACGAGAGAATGGTACCCATCAATTCTTAAAAGCTGCAATAATTTCTAATAATGTAATTTCTAATAATATAATTCATTTAAAAATATGGGCATAAAATGTTAAATAACTAGCAGGCAGAGGGGGGCCCACCTGGAATCCCAGCACTCTAGGATGCTGAAGCAGGAGGATTGTGAGGTTAGCAAGACCAGCCTGAGCAAGTTAGCAAGACCCAGCCTGAGCAAGTTAGCAAGACCCTGTCTCAAGTAAAAATGTAAAAAATGGGGCTTGGGATGTAGCCCAGTGTGAAGGCCCCGGGTTCCGCTCCTAGAACTGAAAAAAATCAAATGACTTCTATATAACTTCGACATACATTACTTTTAATAATCCAAGTGCATTTTTTGTGGTTATGGTATTTGCATAGAACCTGTGCACATCCTACCATATCCTTTATCTCATTTATTTACTTATATGGTATCTTGAGATGAAGTCTCACTGTGTTGCCTAGACTGGACTCTTACTTAATTTGTGGTGTCAAGCAGTCCTCCTGTCTCCATCTACAGAGTAGCTGGTGCTGAGGGTACACACCACCATGCCTAGCTCACATCTGATTGATTATTTAGTCAGTCAGTCAGTCAGTCAGTCAGTCAGTGTCTCGTTATATAGTTCAAGTCAGCCAGTCAGTCAGTCAGTCAGTCAGTCAGTCAGTCCGTGTCTCATTATGTAGTTCAAGCCAACCTTGAACTCACTTTGTAGCCCAGGCTGGCCTGGAACTCATAGCAACTCCCCTGCCTCGGCCTCCTGAATGCTGGATTATAGGTGTGTGCCATCATGCCCGGCTTATATCTGACTTTTGAAAACAGTACTTAATTTATCTTATTCATTCATTTATGTGTCCATCCAGCCAAGTATCTAGATGCTAATAACAAATGATTTTCCAGATTTGATAGGATCCATTTGGTCATTCGGAGAGAGCTACGACCATCTCTAAGCAGGTAAACCCTCTGTATACTGGCTGTATTATATACAACAAGTGTCACTAAGAGACTGCTCTTCACAGTTCAAACAACTATACATGTTCTATGTAGGTTAAAGCATCTGCAATTCAAATGTGGCAACACAAACAGATCTCATAGTTATTACCTGCTTTGTGTTCACTTCTGAATCTGTCAATTTCTTAATCTCAGATGTTCCTAAATTAGAATTAAAACTGTAATATTTAAAGAAATGATTGTTACTCTTTCAAAATATAAACACTGTGATAATAAGTTTCTCGTCTTAAAAAAACCCTTAAACATAAGAAAATTAGATCCATTTATTTATTTTTACAAAATGCATAGTTTCTAATTCTATAATCTGGAAACAGGGGTTTGGATTACATACGCTTCTTCCTTTTTTCAAATATAATTAATTTCAGTTAAATATACAGTGGGAGAGGTGAAAGGTGACTATTATCTTTACAATACTCATAAATATAATCATAAAAGGATATGAAATATTGTACTTTATTTCTCTCCCATTTGACAAGTTTTATCATAGGTTTAATTCCTTAACTTTTGATTAAATATATACATTCACTTGACATTACAGTATCTCTGTTCTATACCCACATAAAAGGATAGTAGGCTTATAGTCTTTTACTATCTAAAATAATGACAATCTAGTACCAGATAATTATGTAACATTATAAGGTCTTTTTTTGTTTTTCTAGTCATTTGGCAAACTTTTAATGAGTATTTATCATGCATCAGGCATAAATACATGTGAAAACATTACTGAGGCAAGTTATGCTTAACTTTCAGACATTATCCCAGCTGTTTAAATTATTCCTAGGCAGCTGTTGCTACAGGACTAAATATGTGCAGGTTAGGGGGCATGGGGGCAGTTGGATAAAACATTTGGTTTTCTTCCTCTTACTCCATCATTTTTGCCACTTTTGAAACAAATCAATGTGCATATTTACACAAATGCTGATTTGATGACACTTTAATGATTTTATGAAAGTATAATATTTAAAGGCATACAAAAGTTCAAGAGCTATGTTTGAAACAATAAATTTAAATGCACAACATTCATCTTAATAAGGAATTCGACAAATTTAATATAGCTATTTGGTTTTTCAACACTCTGATAGTTTTGATAATACATTTAAAAGAAATCATACTAATCTCACTCCAGTCAAAAGGCATTACCAGACCTCAAGCCTGACCATATATAAGGTATACGACAGAAGGCAAAGAACACTGCTTAGTTAAGTTTCATTTAATTTCCCAGAGTTACTACGGGTTGTTAACACGCCATACCTGCTCAATTCAGTCTGGGTTTCAGCTTCTGTCTGTGAATCTGAAAGGTCCTTTTTTCTTCTGGCAGGTGTGTAATAGCGATACTGTGACAGGAAAGATTTTGCTTCTGTTTTTAAAGTGCGTGGAGTGAATGGCAACTGTTTGTTAGAAAAGAAGTCCGCATGTTTTTCCAAAAGATCCCCACTGGGTGCTTTCGAGACGACTACCTGAAACCGGTGGGAATTAGGGAACGCGCTCCTGGGCCTCCTGCCATACTTGCTTCCAGGGCCCGGGCTTCTGGGGTCGGGGGTTACACAGTCCATGCTGGAAGGAGAGGAAATGCAGTTCTTCGCAGTGCCATTCAGGGGCACTTTGCCAGATTTACGCAGACTTAGCTGTGTCTCAGAAGCAGGCAGGAGTGTCTTTGCAAAGGATGGAAATCCATTCACTTCTATCAACAAGTCCTGGTTCTGCGGTTCCCCTGAAGGCTAAGAACATTTGATTTGAAAGTTATCAACTGGATTAGAAATTCATGTAACTCGGGATGTCCAGATTAATTCTCATGTATAGCTCATTTAATCTTCACACCAACTTCTCAGTAGTCCTTCAACCATTACTTTGTTTTCTCCTTTTTTAGTGGTGCTGGGTATTGAACCCAGGTCCTTAATGTATGAGGCAAATGCTCTGCAGCTGAGCTGTATCACCCAGCTCCTACCCCTATTTTACAGATGAAGAAACTGACTTGCAGGATGTGACAGATTTAAATAGAAGCCAAACTTACCTTTTTAACGCTGACATTATTTTAAAAACTCATTGAAGATGATGTAATTTTAGGTTTTTATAGTGAAAGGAAAGAAACCAATTTTAAATTCCTCTCCTGGTAAGGAACAAATCAGCCAACCTAAGTATCAATTTATCTATGTAAAGAAATTACGTAGGTATTATGACTATCTTCTAAAATAGGCTGTCACCTATTTTCTTTCTCAATTTTCTATTTTATCCCAACTACAAGGAAAAATTACGGAAAGCAAGTTAGCATGTTTGCATTAAATTGTGACTTACTATTGTGCTATTTGGCAAGTGATTTCACTATATTAGTTTTAAAAAGTATTCCCAAACTACGCTCACATTACAGTTTATATATCCAAAGAGTTTGGCTCCTTGGAGAAAAATTTCTAAGTACAATCTGAAAAAATCCAATGGGGCTATTAATTAACAATCACAGGAATTATCCCGTAATCCCATCACTTGGGAAGCTGAGGCGAAAGGTCTGCCACAAGTTCAAGGCCAGCCTGGGCCACAGAGCGAGTTCAAGTCTTGCCTGCATTACATAGTGCAACCCGGTCTCAAAAACAAAAACAAAAATAAAAGTGAAAAAGTAATTCACAGGAATTATTTACATTATAGGACCAGTATTAACTAAGATCAGAGTAAGCAGAAATGCGCGAGGCATTAGAATGCCTGTAAAGAAATTCTTTGGTGTTTTTACTAAAATGAAATACAGGGCTGGTATTAGCTCAGTGGTAAAGCATTTGCCTACCATGAAGAGGGCTCTGGGTTCAATTCCTGGCATTGCAATTAAAAAAACAAAAAGACACACTTATCTGTCTTAAATGGGCTGGAAAAACTGATTCTGAAGAGACTGAAAGCATGGAATTTTTCTTATCTTTCTTTTCTTATATTTTCTTATCTCATCATCTCTACTTTGTATCCTACTTTTTCTTTCCTCGTAAACCAGCAGAACACAGTATGAAAAAAACTGCACAGATCTGCTTTGTGAATTTACATAATTGTCTCCTTTAGTCAGGACTATCAGAAAGCTTGCATAGATACTTGTACAAAAAAGATGTCACACACTGGTAAATTCACTACAACTTGAATAGCAGATTATTACAAAGTTCTGAAATCAGAAAAGAGTTAACCAACTGTGTGTCCCCCGGAACAGGAAACGTGGAGGTAAAATGATCACTCACTGTTATGCCATCCTTACAGTATGATGTGACCTGTGTGACCTGCTGTAAACTTTGACCTGCTGTAAACTCATGTTTTCATGTCAAGAACACCTATTCTGTTTTACAATTCAACAGAACAACCGACCACTATGTCAATCTTTTCCAGGGATAATATCAGAAGAAATGGTACAAATTTTCCCACTGTCAGAGTTTAAAATACTTGAAAAAAATAACAATAGGAGGGTGTACAGATTATTTGAAAATCTGTTTTGTAAACAAGTTTCAAATTATATAAAGGAAGAAATGGACAGCTCTTAATATTGACAGTTTTATACTTTTAAAAAAAGTCTCTCATATATTCAGAAATACAAAACACATCCATATATTCAATAATCCTACAGCACACAGTTACACCAGTGTGGGTGGAACAGGAGCCGTTGGCCAAGGGGTGAATAACGGGTGGCCATGGCTGGAAAGGCTTAGGAAGGTCCTGAAGGTGACAGCATGTGAGTCTGCACAAAGGAAGAAAAATAGCACAAGGGCATAGGCAAGCAAAAGGGAAAGTTTCTGTGTATGTCCTCATGCATATAAACAGCTAAGATGCTCAGAGGCCACAGCTAGCACTTTCATTTTAATTGTAGCAACCTTTTCATTGAGTATAGATGATAAGTATAGTGTTTGTTAACCAAACATCCATCTAATTATCGAAATATCTTTCCCAGAATGACAGTTTTAAGAAAATTTGGATGTTTCTAAAACACTTTCATCAAGGTTTGTCAAAAGTATATACAAAGTGCAAATTACTATGAATTCTAAATGGAGTCAATAGAAGTACATATAAGAATATAAAGGAACTACTTTACAGAGATAAAAAAGTTACAGGCACTGAAGGAAAAAGGAATAGAAAAGATCTTATATTTGTATCTATATTAAAATAGATAAGTAATATATTTTTACATTATTATAGATACATAAAATGCATAAAAATCTACTAAAATACACAAAAATTTTTCAACAAACCTCCCACTTACCTCAAAAAACTATTAATTCATATTCAAAAATGTAGAAAAACAGAAGCATTTTAAACTTTCAATTAAAAAATCCTTAAAATCATTAAAAATGAAAATATACTTGTGAGTCAAACACTGACAAACAGATTTCCAGACGGCAAATTATAGTACAGAGGATAGAGGAGTTTTATTCTAAAAGCAGCAGCTCTATTCTTGGTTCTTTTGTCTATACAACAGCCTGGGGAGTTCTCAATCATATTCACTGCATCCCCTGAAGACTCCCAAATCTATTCTCAGCCCAGATCTCCTTCCTGACACAGCTGCTTCTATCCAGTTACTTACTGAAATGTCACACGTAAGTACCTCAAGTCAAAACTGTCCACACAAACTCAGACCTCTGCCCCAGAAGCAAACCTGCACTTGGCCCTTTCATTATTTCAATGAAAGATATACTGCCATCCTCCCGATGCCCAGGACACAGAGGTGGGACTCAACCTCCTACCTCTTGCCCTTTACATCACTGAATCAATCATCGTGTCGTAGGGATCCTACTTTCTATATAAGTATCTTTAAAAAGTATTCCTTGTATTCTCTGCACTGCCTTAGATCAGGTCTTAATCTTTCTTGCCAGGATTACTGTAACCTTTTCATAATTAATTTGTGGTCTCTGTAAATGGTATGATATAAATTCCCAACTAATGTCTGGTTGCAGCTCTCCCACATTTCTCAAAGAGCAAAAATCCAGATTTGCTATTATGGAAAAAATACTCTTTGTCTTCCCCCTGCTTAGGAATGTATCATGTCTTCACTTGCAATGGAAAGAGCTGGAGTAAAAACTACAGCACAAGGTACTTGCTAGGCAGCACAGGAAAACTGGCTTTTGCGAGACAGGCCATAGTTTTTATGACATCAGGGGTGCCAGGAACAGAAGAAAAGCTCAGGGACTGATCCCATGCTGGAGAATCCGGGATACTCTCAATGGCTACTCCCCAGCTAGGGGTGGCTTGCAAGAAACTTGTTGTTCTTGACCACTGTCACTGAGTATAAAGGGTTACTGGCCTTTGAGAATCAGAGGTCCCATGTCTTCATGCAAGTCCACAGCCTAAACTTGCATTACCCAAATGGCCCACACAAATCTTGAGCCAAGACAAATAATTCAGCCCCCACTAATAAATTATATCGAGTGGGGTGGGGCAAGCTATAGATTGATTGATTGGTTGTGATACTGGGGATTGAACCCAAGTCCTTTCAGGTGGGCTACATCTCCAACCCTTATTTATTTTTAGAACATTTTTATTTCAAGACAGGGTCTCACTAAGTTGCTAAGTTGTTCAGGCCAGGTTTGAATTTGCTATCCCCCTGCCTAAGCCTCCCAGAGTGCTGGGATTGCAGATATGTACCAACGCACCTAGCCTAGACTTTTGGGTATTTAATGATATTAAAGAATTGTTATTCATTTTTAAGGCATAGTAACAATGGCATTTTGGTTGTGGTTGAAAAAAAGCTTATCTTTTAGCTGGGTGGTGTGATAAAAATACAGTGAATGTTTAAAGTTTTAAAAAGTATTAAAAGACACATTGCCGACTCCCGGCCTCCTCGTTCCCCGGAAGGAGGGCTTTTGGTGCACAGGGAGCTGGGGGTGGGGAGCGCCAGCCTTCTGGCTGGCTAGCTTCCTGCCTGCTGGCTCCCGGAGGGTGGGCCCCCGGCGCACGGGGAGCCTCGGGTGGGGAGTGCTGGTCTTTTGGGGTCTTCGGACCGGCGACTCATTCCCGACCTCGTCGTTCCCCGGACGGA